CTTTGGCTCCTTAAGTGCGGCTCTGGCACAAATATCCATGAAAGGCGCAATAATATTTTCATTTAAAAAAAAACAAACTTGGTAAGTAAAAAATTACATCTTACTTTGATTAATTAAATTTTTTTTATAAATCGAGAACATGTATAATTTTTTTTTAAGTTAAAAGATAGATAGGTAATTAAAATTTTATATTGTTGTAAAAATACGTAACGAACATCGAGTTTAATTTTATTGGTTTTCGTAAACGTAAACACAAACCATGTACAAGCTACCGGCTGAAATTGTTCGTATGTTTTCGGTGTACTCCGATGTAATACAAAGGTACCACAAGCATGCGCATGCATGCTTTTCGTAAAGTAGTGGGGTACGAATTGGCATCACAGAATTGCAGTTGCAATGTGAACAGTTTTGTCTTATCTACCGTGTCTGTGCCGTTGCCCTGTCTTATTAAAAAGTTGCTGTATTTTTTAATCTAGCTGCACGTCTTACAGGTATTTTTATACGATTTTATTACACCTTCTATATGTGTTTGTGGTTCCGGTACAAAATTTGTTATCGATTTTTCGATACCTTCTATTTGTCCAAATGTTGGAAGTTTTCTTGAAAGTTAAAGTTAACATTTTACGTTGTAAAATTTATTTATTATCCATACTTTTCACTTTTCTGCTGACTCATTAATTTACTTCTGACGCAAGAGTGCCACTGAGATTGATATATATTCTGTTTAGTATTATAATTACTTTTTTTTTATTATTTAATTTAAGTGTTATTATATTGTGTTGTATTTTTAACTCTCTCTATATATATTGAAGAATTTTGATCACATATAAAATATATGTGAATCTAAAGGAAAGAAATTATTTTTTTGTTAACGAAAAAAGTATAGTAGAAAAGTATTTTTTATTTCTTCATAAGATTCATTCATAGGTTTTGTTTGGACTTTCAATTTCGTCAAAATTTCTTATATGTGTGAATGATTTTTTTTATTTTCAAAGCTAAGATTTTACCTTCTGTCAAATATCTACAATATTTTTAAGCAGTATTTTTATTCCTTCAAAGGATTAATTTATGTTGTTTTGACTAAGTTCATTAGAATTTCTTTTTACTTGATATTTCATTTTGCCTTCGAAGATTAGATTTTGTATCCTGTAAGATATCTATAATACATTTTTCAATAGTTTTGTGGTCGAATATCCAATTCTTGTTCTCCTAATGACTAGTTGATGCTCAATTATAAAATTTAACTATTTTAAGACTAATTTCACTGCATTTAATTTGTGGCTGAGAACAAAAGAGTCCATTTCCAATGGATCAACAGGTGACTGTTCTCTTCACTGATGAGTATTTCCCGAGAATAGAAGAGTCCGTTTCCAATGGATCAACAGGTGGCTGTTCTCTTCACTGATGAATTATTCCAGAGAACAGAAGAGTCCGTTTCCAATGTGGCAGCGATCTTGGAAATCAAAGCATGGATCAACTGGTGACTGTTCTCTTCCCAAATGAGTATTTCCTACCGGGAAATGGAACCAAACGTAAAATTATCAATTCAATTTCGGAACACCTAGTTAATAAAGAATTCTAAAGTGGTTTCTAAACTGTAGCTGCCGGCTACGAAGAAATTTTGGGATTGTATATTTCCTACCGGGAAATTTGATGTTTTTCACTGTACATTTCCTTGGCAAAAACATTGTACTAGAGCACTCTCTCCTGGCTCTCTCTAGATACTTAAGCCAGAGTCAGCCTGCTTCCTCGGTGGAGGGCGGATGGGCCAATGTCCACCCATGCAAACCCCTTAGTATTTGTATTGTATTTACTGTTTTAAAGTACTTGTAACCGTGCTATATCAGAATGTCCCACCAATTAAAATTATTCGAGCTAGCCGCCTGTATTGTTTTTGAGTACAGGTTATAAAATAGCGCCCAACGTGGGGCCGAATAGTTATTTAATTTTAATAGGAATGCTAGTCTATAACAAAATTATCTTCAATATATTGAACACACAGCACATAGCTCCTACGAGATAAAATACGATCTTCATTACCATTATACATTTGATCCAGTTTTTTGACGGCAGTTGTAGCTACAACTCAATCAAATACATATCCTATCCTTCACAACAGATCTAAATGTCTATAACATATATACTTACCTGTATACAGGTTTAAAATTGAAACAAAATGGGTGAATGGTGTCAGATAAAAACGATCCCACTCGAAAAGCTGCCATATTTACTTTTAGCAATTGCCCAATTACACAGAAAGATGAACCCACGTCAGTAACAGTGAATGATTTTGACGTTATGCTTATAAATGAGGCTTTGAATGCTTATTTCCTCAATACAAAAAAGAAGAAAAACAAGGTGATT